TTTTTTTTTTTTTTCTTTTAATGCTGATAAAACAGCCCTAACTTTACAGATCTCATATGGAACCAAGTACTTGCATCTTTATAACACTTTTACATTAGTTGAACTATGCAGATATTTAGGGAAATTCTTCTGAATTATTTTAATTCTTGGCTCTAATTTTAATAAATGTCACTTTTCTTTGGTACAAAAGGTTTTACTGTATTCGCCTATTACAAGCATTTTACCCAAGTGTACCGTGCATTGTCAAACGCCTTTTATATGCAACTGTTAATTGTATGAAAAGTAGTTGGGATGCTAGGTCTGCAGATTTCATGGTGTGAAATTGCTTACATAAAAATGCAAGTGTTTCTTAAACCATAGCAGCTGCTTGAGAGATTTGTAATGACAGCACCCCGATGCTGTGAAACAGTTTTAATATTAATTACTGGACCTGTTTTTTTTATGCTAATAAACTTTTTGCATTCACAATTTAATCTCCAGTTGCAGTTTTTACCTAGAAATGAATAAAAATGTGTCTACATAGCTTTGCCCTCTGAGCACTAAAGTAAAATCAGTTTACAAACTGTTGCAACTTTGGCTTTGCACAGTCCATTCATTGTGTGTGTGAGTGCTTCACCTCCTGAAGTCATTCATCTTAATCAGGGAGCTTACATGCATTCATCTAACTCTGGCTAACTGGCAGGGGGAGCATATGCTAAGTTAAGTGACTTCTTTTTTTTTTTCTTGGCAAACCAACACTGATTAGCATGTGCGGTCTCACTCTCATAGCACCTGTAGCCTGCTCCTGTAGCCAATGAGAGTTTTGCCAGCGATTTGCATTGAACTGGGATTGGACCTTGGAGTCAAGGTTCCTGAGTAGAAGAGAGTGGGCAGCAACAACTCATCCTTAAAGTTGCTTCGCAGGGCCCAGTGCTGAAATCACAATGTCGGCATTGTACATCAACTCCAGTTATTTTGGAGCAGTAACAGGACCCCAAGATGGGGTGGCAGGCACTTCAATCTCTGGGTAAACGAGTAGGACAACTGTACACATGCATATCTAACACTGTCAACCGTGAGGGGGACTGTGGTCTATACTTATGTTACACTGTACTTCAGGCACAAATGTGGGCCACATACTTGACCACCATGTACCCTCCAACAGTCTACATTGGATGAGAGAAAAATGGCTCCTTATGACTATACCCAATTCATATTCAGCTCCACCCCAGCTCATCTTAACACAGATCTCTCATTACATGAAAGGATGTTTACAATAATTTTAACCCTTTATTATCCACTGATTGAGCCCCAGTTGGGTAGGACACTTCCAGTCTCTGGAGGAGTAACTTGACTCCTTGCTCCACCCCCCGAAACATGCTCTCCTCTGGTTTGCATTTCTGACATGATTTGTTGCCTACTGCTTTTGCCAACACCTGCTGCAAATTAGAAGGGGCATTACAGTGGCAGGGTAGGGAAGGCAAGTGGGATTAGAGCTGCCTGAGTGAAGAGGTTGTGTTGTTCCTTAGGAAACAGGAGCAGGCGGTTGTATTTTAGGCTTCTCTAATATTCTTTAATGTGGAAAATCTCTCCTAGCCTCATTGCATTTGACTCATCTTGACAGGGAAAGACAGGGTGTCTTTAGGAATTGTACAAACCAAAAGGCTTTTCTTATGTTCCAAGATTATGGTCGCAGCAAATTTCCCTCTAATTGAGGTTTTGTCAAAAAAAAAAAAAAAGAGAGGAAACAAAACAAAACACCTTTTAGGAGGCATAAAACTGCAACCAGCCTAGTTGTTCCCCCTCCCCCACCTTACTTTTGCCTTCTAACATAAGTGTTCCTGAGCTGTTCACAACCTAAACATTGCAGTACTCACCAGGTGCGTGAGAACCCAGGGAATGAACCCAAAAGGGAAGCTAAGCCGGCTTTCCCTTTGCTGCCAGCTGAGACCATGCAAACAGCTGAGAACAAATCTTAAAAAGCAATCTTTAATCTCAGCTAGTGCTGGTACAGGAGGAAAGACTCAAAACATTACCTGGTTCAGTTCAGTTTGCAAATCTGGTCAACTCTAGCAATTTGAAGAACAGCATCAGAAAGATTTCTGCCTTCTCCCTTCTTTGGGGTTTTGGTAACTGCAAAGGTTTCTGCTTTTGTGTTGTTTGCAGGCTCTTTCTTTGTAGACATGTGATCAATGTATCTCCAGGGAACCTTGTGCTTTCAGTTGAACTTAATCAGACAAGGGCCCTTAACTAAGCTTTTATGGGTTTTAAAGAAAGTGTGGCACATTTCTTGGAAGACAAATGCATGAGCTCTAATGCCGGAACAAAGCAGGCCTGTGAAAGCTCCTTACTGACCTATTTCTTTCTTCCTCCATTCAGATTAGGAAGCTGAAACTACTAGGAGTGAAGTGCTGGCTGAGATTTGTTGGTTGTCAGTCTTTAGTTGAAAGGGAAGGTGGGGGGAAGATTCACTGTACTTTCACATTTAGACCTTAGCAAAGATCTGTTTCAAGGTTTATGATGCAATGGTCTGGCCTTTGGCAATCTACTTTGAATACCCTATTGGAAGAGCAGCGGTGGGAATTCAGGCCAGCTTTTTTCCCTTCTAATCAGGAATTTGTTGTCCTCACCTGCTTCCTTGCCCTCGTGCAAAGGAGGTAATGCACAGTGTGGCTGCCTAGGAATCTGAAATTTCTGTTTTGTCTGAACATTATATATGCTACTTCGGACACTAGATGTTTATGGCTCATGACTCGATGCAGTCAAATATTAGGAGCAATCATCTTTTATTACCACTAATAGGGGTAATATTGATGTAAATACCCACAAATGGATAGCAAGCAACCCTCACCACACATCTTGAACACTAAAATTCTGACTTTTCTAGACTTCACCAGCTATGAAAATTCTCCTGTACTCTTACAGTATTTGGAGTGGCACACACAACAGGAAGCCTCTACCCACCCGAGTCATGGTTTCTCTCTTCCTGCTGGGGCACTTGTTCTGTTGGCTAAACCCTGATGGTGTTGGCTGGTTTTAGAGCAACCTTCCCTTTTACACTTCTTTCGGCCAGAAATCCTCAAGTTGGGTGGTTGGAAAGGACCTTGACGAGGTCAGTCTTTCAGACTAGCCCTCTGTAGAAATGCAGGATTCCCCTTTTTACAAACCATCCCTATTAGATGCCCATCATTTCTGCACAGAGAAGTTAGTGGGCTTTAACCTCCATTTTTCAGTTCCTAGGAGCAATGTTAGAGTAAGGAATAGAGATCCAGCCTAGCAGAAATGTTTTAACATGAACATATTTTTGGGGCCAGTGGAAAGAGAAATGTGATCTAGCAATGTAAGCATGACAGCAGGGCAATGGGCACTTCTCAGTTCTACACCCAGCTCTGACCATGACGCCAGCAGTGCCCATGGGTTGGGCATTTACCCTGTTTGTTTCCACATGTGCAAACAGGGGATAACCCTTGGTAGAAGTTGTGGTGATGATGAAATGTAAGGTATGTCCATGGAGCATTCCTGCATGGAGAAGGGCTAAGTAGCTTTTGAAAGCACCGAGGGATCCTGGAGTTCAGGATCATCAGAGGACAAGGCTGAGAATACTCTACCAGTGTATTTTGTAACATACTGTATGTTGCAGTAAGTCCGCTCCATTCCTGTGAGTAAGAGGCCTTGCTCCCAAATCAGTTTATCAGAGTCCCTGGTGCAGATAATGTCTCTAGTTTCCCTCACAGCTCCTGGCATAAAACTACGCTTCTTCACAACTTTCTATCATTCAAAAAATGTGTTGGCCACAGCATCACACAGCAGAGCAGTGATGGCTAATCCCTCTGCAGTATAAGCCATTATAAGAAGGGCATTTAGAATAGGGGTAAAGCTAGGGTAAGTTTTAAGGCGCTGACCTGTATTATACAATAGCCAGTCTGGTATTTAAAGTGAGAAGTGGGTGTGCAGAGTGCTAGGAACACATTCTGAGTCCCAAACAAGAATAAGCCTTGCCCCTGACATTAAAAAAATAGGTTCATTGGGGGCTGGAACAGTAATGCAAAGACTGAAAACCCTAGAGGGACATGTTGCAAGGGATATAATAAGTAAAAATTGTATATTCCAGCTTCTTTTTTTAACATGAAAAGACGGGGAACTTGGGTTGCATTGCTGTTGGCTTTGGTTAGGCTAGGTTCTGAGAACAGGGAAAATGTGGTGAACAAGAGGGAAGGTTTGCTTTTTTCTTTGATATCTGATTACTGTGATATTTTGAGGCAGGAACTGAGAACAGGACATTGATATTGGTTTTGGATTCTTGACAGCAGCATGTCTGTAGGGTGTTTCTTGCATCTTCTCTGTGTCCAAGTAAAGCAGGATAAATGTAGACTATATTTATGCTCCCTATCATTGATTTCTTCAAGGCCCTGCCCTCTCACTTCTACTTGGCAAAGGAGCAACTGGGGTGTTAAAAGTAGACCCTGGTGCCAGAAGAAAGGGCAACAGCATCCAAGAATATGGAATCAGCTAGAAAAGATTCAAGTTAGAGCAGTTCTCCAGTTTTAACTACTATACCGCATACATACCCCCTTCTCTCACTGCTGCCTAAGGGATGTTATAAGGAAGGTGCTTACTACTCACCTGTCCTAATTACAGATTTCTGGGGTAAAGGAGTGGGTTGGGTTGGGTCGGGCCAAGCCAGCTCAGATCAGCTGTAGAAAATTAAGCACATTTCCAGGGTTAGACTCTCTAGGGGCTGGGATCACTCTCCCCTGAATGTTGTGAGCTGTGGCTAAAGCAGGCTTTATTTGAGTCCATTCTCTTAGACTTGCACCATTAGAAAGCTGCTGTATTTGTGGTGAAAGCTAGAGCAGAACAATGCTTTTTCACCACT